CTCTTTTTACTGCATTTTTGCTGCGTACCCTTTTTAAAGGATTTTTTTTTTTGTTGTTTTCTATCCTTTTGGCAAACCGTCACTTGCCACGCACAAAAAAAAAAAAAAAAAAAAAGGTTCAGCAAAGGGTGTTAGGTTGCTTCGACAGGAGCTTCCACGCAAGGCCCCGCTTGCCTTAACGAGAGTTAATCAACTTGGGTGGTTCCTTTTTGCCGCTATGCCCGTTTTTCTGCTTCACGGGGTGGCCAAAATATTCAACGCAAGCTCTCTCGAAGTGGCGGCGCTGGAGCATATGGCTTTAACTTGTGCGGCCCTTTACAATTTTGTGGAGCCTCAATGCTACCTCCTCGGCAGATTTAACATTACGAATTGGGTTCAAAAGAAAGAGAATACCTAAATGTGAACATTTTGTAATTGGTTAACGTACTGTTCACATATATAAATGGCCATTTGGAAGGAGGGAAATTCCTGCTTGGGGGAAGCGTGTGCCCATAATATGTTTCGCGCCCATTTATAATGAGAAAAAACAAAAAAAAAAAAAAAAAGGCACCTTTTTGTGCAAATTTTAGTTTTAAAAAAACGGCATACCAACTCTCCCAGTGGTGCCGTTTTCTACATGTTATTAAATTGTTTAAAGGGTTCACATGTACACATATATGGGTGCATATACATATGCTTATGCGCGCCCTTCTTCAGCACAGCGCTGGTGCGAGCGGACAATTTAAAAACAGAAACGAGTTTTCTAAAAGAACTCGCAACAACACATGTGACCCCATGTGAACATGTGCGCGGAAACAGAGTAGGAAAAAAAAAAAAAAAAAAAAAAAACGACAGCTACTGGAGCCGAATTTACTAAAAAATGGATAACCTGTTATCTTCAATAATTTTTCCATTTAGCGATCCCTTCTCATTCTTTTGCTTTGTTGCTTCCTTAAAGTATCTTCTCTTCTTTTTGTTATTTTTAACTTTAATCATGTATCGTTTGTACGGCTGACACACGTAGCGGCAGTCGTACTTGATCCCGATGTTTCCTTTTTTCTCTCGTAGCAAGTTTCTACACAGTATGAGATGCTTCACCATAATTTCCAGGGGGGAGTACACGGGGACCTTCAGACATAGACCTTCGGTGGGGTAAAAAACAAAAAAAAAAGGCATTAAAAAGGGGAACTCATAATAGCATGAAAATGCAACAAGTGGTTCACCAAAACTGTGCAAAATGCATAACGTCTCTCGAATGCACACAAATGGTTACCTAGTATACCCTCGTTGACAGAACTGAAAGTCAGCAAATTTCTGTTCTTCGAGAAGAACATGCGAACGAGTCTCTCCTTGTATGGCTTATGATAAGCAATGAGCGAAGTCGTGTCTAGGATACACTGGCGCACATTCACCTGTCTCGATTTGTTAAAATGGGACAATTTTTCTCGAATCCATAACAGGGCTAAATACAAATGATCTTTTTTAAATTTTACGTCTTCACTATTTGGCGATTTATTTTTATATATGTATTGATATATCTCATCAAAATTTATGTCATTAAATTCGTAATGCTTTTCTTCATTAAAGTTGGAGTCATTACTGTCGCCATCAGAGGTGCTATTATCATCGTCACCTGAGCTTGAAAATGTGTGCGCCTTCTTTGGGTACCTCTTTTTTCCAAATGTCTCTTTTCTAAAATATTGTTTTCTATTTTTATTATTGTATGGATTATCCTCCTCAAAAAATTCATACTCTTTGGACAATTTGTTATAATGCTGTTCATACTCTTCTTGCAAGTTGTTGGTTTCAAAAAACTCTTCATCGTAATTTGATCTCATGCTTCTGTATATCATTCTCTCGATTTTTTTTTCCTTCACAAGGTCATTATCGTTTAGTTGGGAATTTCTCTTCGAAGTTTCATTCATCTCTGTAGTGTCTATTCCCTTCCCTTCCTGCGTTTTGGGGTGATTCGCGAGGTCTGCATTTCTGTCATCCCCTGCGTTCCGCGTAAGTTCTTCATCTTCCTTACTTGCTTCTTCCTTTTTCGCGTTGGAGGGGTCAAACGGCTGTCCCTTTCCATTGCTTGAAGATCCTGTTGCTTGGCCCTTCTCAGAACATCCCTTCACCATGTTATCACCGCTGTTTACGCTGCTGTCCCCCTTGTCATCAGTACTATCCCCATTGCTGTCGCAACTTTTGTCGCTACCTCTCGCGCGATGCTCTACTAACTTCTTACGACGCTGTTTGTGACAACTTCCTAGTGTCTCCTTTCTCTTAACACTCTCGAGGTTGCCCCCTCTTCTGTTGAGCTTCTCCAATTTCAGCACTATGTCCTTGTGCCTGTTATACTCCTCGTTGGAGCTCTCACAAAGTAGACTATCGGAAGACCCGCAATCCGTTTTGATGTCATCATAAAAGTGGTCATCACTTAAAGTGTCATACGTTTTGTAACTCGTTTCGCTGAGCAAATCATCTTCTATATCATAGGATCCCAATTTTTTACATTTTTTCTTTCTTAAAGAAATTTTTTTAATAAATTTTTTATTGGGCTTCAATATCTCTATCAGCTGTTGTGTGTACAACATGGCAATGTGAAAGCTTCCCTTCTCGTTGGTCAATAAATCTGCGTACTCCTCTTCTAGGATATTCAGCACTTGTATAATATTGCCACTGATAATGCTATTTCGTATGATGTGCCTTGTCTGCAGTGAGTGCACCATTTTCTTTAGCTTATCGTCAGACAGGTACAAGTCGACAAAATATTTAGTAATGTATTCCTTATCTACTGAGTACCCCTTTCCTTCTTTTTTATTTAATTTTTTTAAACTTTCATTTTTAATCATGCCTGATTTTTCTCGTAGCAAAAGCTGAATTTTTTTGTTAATATCGCTTTCACTTTTTCTCGCTTCCTTTTTGCTATTAAAAAAGTTAGTGGCCAAAATATTCAAATCTTCTTTCAAATTAAGGCTTCTCTTACCTTTTAATCGATTTAGTAGTAACGTGTTGGAGTCTTTTCTTATGTTTAATAAACTTCCAAGAGTGTTTTTACGCGATATCCATAGTGTATTTTGCAAGTTTGCGGGGGGGTAGTTGTATTGGCTAAATTCGTAGCTCTTTAAAATGTTGGCCGTGATATCACTGATCGTTTGCTTTTCTGCTTCTTCTGTGGGGTCCTCCTTTGCGTGCGCCTGGCTCAACGGGAGGATTTGGCCTCTGGAGATGGAAGGCTCAACGGCTGGTGTAGCCGCATCGATGAGGGGGGTTACAACGCCACCTGTGCTCGCTTCCACCTTCTGCTCATCTGTGCCACTCGCCTTTTCTTCCCTGTTGCTACTTCCCGTGACATCGGCCACTGGACGGTTATCCTCTTTCGTGTCATCAGTTGCAGATTTAGGATCTTCCGCCTGTTTATCTTCACCTTCATTTTGATCACTTCTGAGTGCACTGCTTGGGGTGAGGGTCATGTTGCCCGTTTCCCCGCCTTGCTTTGTCTCTTCCGTTTTGTCCTTGCTTTGACCCCTTTCTTCCTTGTTCAGCTTTTCATACGCGTCTAGGTAGTTAATAAGAAATTTGTTAAAATCGTGTTTATCCTTTTCGTCATTTTGATCCTCCGTGGAATTTTTCCTTTCCATTTTTTGCGGGCTCGCATCTTTCGGTGCCTCACTGGTGCGAGTACAAGTTTTGGATAGAGACTCATCTGCCTTCTGAATCTGATCATTTGCGGCTTCTGCCGCTTCGCCTTTCCGTTTTTCGGCTTCCCCATCATCGTGCTTGTTCTCGTTGCTTTGAGTTTGTGAAAGGTGTGTTGGGGGGTCCTCGTACTTTGTTTGGCTACTTTGAAGACTGGTGCTGGGTGTATAGTCTGCGCTCTGTGGGGGGTCGCACGTGGGTTTGTCCTTGGCTGTATCCTTTTTCACTTGATCCTTTTTTGCTTCGTCCTTTTTCACTTCGTCCTTTTTTACTTCATCCTTTTTTATTTCATTTTTCTTTATTTCGTCCTTTTTCGTTTCGTCCCCTTGGCCCGCAAAGAACTTATCCAGGGATTGTTTAGTGTTGGACGACCCCCCGACGCTGCTACCATTATCAGCAGTGTTTTTATGCTTCTCTACAAAATCCACAAAAGATTTGTACGTATTAAAATAGCCGCACTTTATCAAATGGGATTTAATAACATCAGTAAAAATGTCTTTCTGAATATAAATGGACTTTATTATTTTCCTTTCCTTTTCGCATTCTTCGTAAATCATATTGTAAATATCAAAGTAGAAATTGTTCAGATGAAATTTGATTCGATCTCCCAGAGTAGTCAATCCAACAGTGGCATAATAATCATACTTAGGGTTCACATTGCAGGCCTTACCTAGAAATTTTCCATTTTTTGTAAAAAAGGCACTATTGTCGAAATAGTTAATTCCGCACCCAATTATGTCATACTTGGTATACCCATTGCTGTAACTTTCTAATTTGCTATCGATAATTTTTTTCCCATCATCATTTTTATATCCAAAGGAGTTATATTCAGATCCTGGGTTTTTGTTAATTGTGTAATTTTTGCTTGTCATCCCTATCACAATTTTGGAGAAATTGGAGCAACTTAACACTTCGACTTCAAAATAGTATATGCTACAATCCCTGGATGCACATTTATTTACCTGAACACACGCAATATCTGTGTGTTTTCCCCAGGCGCTATACGTGGCAGTAAGTTTGTCCTTACTTACTGTTATGAAATTGGATACATTAGTGGTGTTTATACACACGCTGTCTTTGAATACATTATTGAGGTACACGTATCTGTGCTTAAACCTTTTATTTTTTTTCTTCAGGTACAGTTTTTTTTTTTTGTCATAATGGCTGTTGCTATGGTTGTAATGATAATCGTGTTTTTCGTCTTCTGTGTTTATTTCCCCTTCCGATTCTTCTTCGTCTTTAAGTTGGTGCTCCTTTCTCATTTTGCCTTTTTTTTTCCTCTTTTTGCTGCTGTCTTTGTGATACGCCTGGTCTTCGTCATCATCATCTGTTTCGTCCTCATCGTCCGTCTCGCCATCCGGTTCCTCGTACTCATCCTCTTCCTCCTCATCCGGTTCATCGTCTTGTTCTTCCTCATCGGTTTCGTCCTCCGGCTCATCATCCTCATCCTCCTCATCATCTTCTTCGTCGTCATCATCTCCCTCTTCATCGTTTTCCTCGTCATCCGCGTCGTCGTCCTGTTCCTCTTCCTCCTCTACGTCCTCATCTTCGTCATCACAATTTTCCTCGTCCACGTCGAATTCGTCTTCTTCGTAATCTTCCTCTTCGTCGTCGTCCTCCGCCCCGTCATTGTCCTCGACGTCTTCATTGTCATCATCGTGCTCCTCCTCTTGCTCGTTTTCATCTTCGACGTCGAACTCGCCTCCCTCTTCCTCTTCTCCGTCGTGCTCTTCCCCTTCTTCCACCTCATCATCCTCTTCATCCTCATCATCATCTTCTTCTTCCTCCTCCTCCTCATCATCCTCTTCATCCTCTTCCTCACCCGAGCTGGACTCCGAATCGGACTCCATGTGTGAGTCGGACTCGTTTCCATAACCTCTGTTTTTTCTTCCCTTTTCTTGATTACCTTTTGGATCATTTGTTTTCTTATCCCCACCTTTTCTCCTGCCCCTATTGCCTTCGGTGCCCTTTCTTCTAAAGCATCTTTTATTCGAGCTGCTCGACAAGAACAACGTCGATTTGCAGGGGGTGTAAGAGAAGCTACACAAATGGTTCTTATCAGAGGTGTTAACCAGTTGTTCATAATTGGGAGAGTTACCCAAAGTGGAATACTCTTCACTGGGTTCGTATGTATATGCTTCGTTTCTCTTTTCCTGCAGATTTGTTCCCCTGCTCATACTGCTACACATTTCTTTCTTCTCGTCCTTGTTCTTATTTTTGCACGGACGCGTGAGCCTATGCTCACTGCTGAAATGTCTACGGTCTGCACAGGGCGTTGCCCTTTTTGGAACAAAAGCACTGGTAAGACTTTTCCCCATTCTGGCCACACATTCCTTGACAGTTTCTGTATGCATAGAATTCGTACACACAATAGTCCTTCCATTTTTGTTATGCCCTTTTGGCAACAACTTGGCGACTAAAGGATATTCCTTGCCTCTCCTCTTTGTGGTGTTATCCCTCCCGAGTGACTTATCGCAATAAGGGAGAACTACCATCCTTTTTGATGTAACCTTTCCATTTTCGAAATGATCTTCTTCTTCCATTTGGTCCACTAGTGCTACTTCTTCGCCAAGGAGGAACAAATGATCCCCTTTTTTATTTTCCCTTCTGATCAACATATACATCTTACATTCTACAAACTTTACCAAAACGGTTAAGTAAAAATAAACATTGTAATGAAGAACGTGTAAGAAGGACAAATAATAGGCTGCCAAACAGATTATTCGTTCCACCGCGTGCATGAAGGTGTATATAATATGCTCGAGTTTGCGCGACTGTTCACGCGATTGTTCACGCGATTTGGACGTGCACACAAATTTGTCAAAGTAGGGTGATGTCGCTTCCGTTTGATCTCCACCAGGCATCCTTCCCCATGGGGTAGACGTCAAGGAAGGATATGGACCCGCACACATGCATGCATAGGGTGTACCACTAATAATGCCTTCTTCGTTGAAAAAACATATTTCACTACCGCCGATGACACGAACTGGGGAAAGCTTCCCATTAGCAGGTGCATTCACTCGCCTTTGTGGATAATATACCACTTCTGCCTTGCCATGCGTAATTAGTCCAATTACATCCGCTTCGCCCTTTACGCGCAGAAGCGGTTGTAATATGATCTCTCCTTTACCAAGTGTGCACTTGTAATTGTTATATTCCAAATGGGCCAAATGAGGAGTACATAAATTGGGTAATGTTACACAGCAGGAGGAATTTTTCTTGCGGCTATGTTTGTCGTTTTTTTTTTTTTTTCTTCCCAAAGGTGATGGAGGGCATAGATAACAATTCGGATGTTCAATCCACTGGGGATAATTTTTATCAAGCATGACAGGGTTGTTCAACAAGGATAAATTTACAAAACGCTGCGGTTGAATCTTCATGTGCGTGTACGATGGGACATAAAAAAAAAGTTTCTCCCCCTGGTGCTGTAGTGAAGAGAAAAGCGCTGTTTCTCCCATCCCCACATTGCAATTCAAGGGGATGTGCTCCGGAATGACAGCGCCTATCAGTTCGGACAAATCTGAAAAACTGTAACTCTTGGCAGGAATTATATACATGTTAAATTTTCTCCATTTGGGGTCAATAAGGAAATTCATTTCTGTAATGTTGCAGACACTTCCTTGGCTATAGGTCCCTTCATATTTACACATGTTGCAGGGACCGCAGTGGATCGGGCTGAGTACCTCCGATCGTGATGCCATCAAATTGACGCTGAAGACATTACATGTTTTTTTTTCACCATTTTTCACTCGCAACTGATGGCAGTGATGTGTCGGTTGGGCAAAAACAAGCCCTAACATGTGCGAGGTGTAGGAGAACTGTGCAAAAGGAATTACGTGTGTGTTTTTTTCCTTTTTTAGGTTCTCCACAGAATTATAATGATAAAGAACAAGATGCTTAGAATGGCTTGATTTACAGGATGATTTTAAGTCGTGGAAATCATCCATTATTCCTTTTTTATTCTTTTTCCTTCCCCAAATGACGTGCAAATTGTAATTTTTTAAAACGGTGCAATGACAAACATATAGGCAGACCTCTCCTTCATTAATTTTTTCACAACTCTCTTCGCGTGTTACCCTAAAGCGAGGGGGTACTCTTCGTCTATGAGCAGTCATGTTGCTTATCACTTGGTTACATGTCTGCAACTTGTTTCGCGTTAGGAAAAGATTTCCAATTTTGTTTAATTTTTTCTTACAACATTTTGACATGGGCATAAAAAATTGTATAAGGCATATTTTTCGATTCGATGAAATTATCCTTTTCGAATAACCGCAGAAGCATCTTCTTCTCCATTTTAAAGCAAGCTCCAGTAGTCCACTAACGTGTCTACTAGGTATGTTCCATATGTGAGAGTGTAATTTGTATTTTCCTTTTTCCATTTTATTGTTAAATGGAGCTCTGCTCTTACTTCTAACGTACAGCGTATTTTCACTCTTCTTATACAGTTTTAAAGGATTAAGGGAGTCCCTTCTTTTCTTCGACATGTTTACATCAGTGTGACTTTCACAGTTGCCATTAAAATGTTTACGTCTTCCATTTTGTTTTTCACTCTCCACGCAATAAAACAAAGGTTCTCGGTTGCTTCTCTTTACAGCATATGTAGTCCTATGGCAAATTTTGCTTCCTCCTCTTAGTAGCCCGTCTTCATATGTATTGTCTGACCTTAACATAGTCTCTTCTCCGTTCGCGTTCGCATCAAAAAGGTTGTGTGACACCATTTTTGCATGAGAACGAGAGCTGGGGGGAATAACTTGATCATAATACACGCAGCGGTAGCACTTGGATGGGGGATAAAGGGGGCATGTCTGTCCTATCGGTTCAATTGTCTTTCCCCTTGCGGAGAAGTAATCATCTACTGCGATCTCCCTATTTGCGCGCAGTGCGCCAAGGCACTCGGTCATTTTGGGTCTTTTGTCAGGAAGAACGCAGCACAGGAAAAAGGAGTAAAAATTGTTTGCTCACTGAGAGTATTCTGTTCACAAAAGGCGACACAAAAAAAAAAAAAAAAAAAAAAAAAAAAAAAAAAAAAAAAAAAAAAAAAAAAAAAAAAAAAAACATGAAACGAGGGCAAAACGCGATTTACCACTATGTTAACAAAATGGAGCGTGTTGCAACTTGTCGTCCTCGCGCAGAACAAGCAGTGAACATCTCAAGGGAAGCAATCACGGGAATTACACCAAAAGTGAACGAAGAATACGATGAAGACGAACGAAAAGGGGAGAAAAAATTTCAGATTTTCGCTACATATGTAAATGTATTATACAGACGCATAAAACACACATACATGCGATCATGAGTATTAATATACTCACTTGATCTATACTATATCTGCGCATTTATCATGCATTCGCACACTTTATTTTTTATTCTTCCCACCCCTAAAGGCGTTTCTTACTGTCCATAAATCATATCAACTCGTATGGTTAAAACTTTTTTTTTTTTTTCCGTTTTATTTTTAGCCTTTTGGTGACTGCTTTATAGTTGTTGCTTTCTTTTTTTTTTTTTTTTTTGAGGGAGGGGCTTGTTTACAAATACTTGGCGTATGCATATATATCCATGCACATATCACTTATTATCAGTTCACAAAAGGAGATACGGACGAACTGCACACGTATAGCCAAATGCTGCAACAGTGTGTCCCGTATTGTCCAGCATATGTTGGAGACAAATATGAAAGGAACACATAAATGGTATAGCCCATATTACATTTTTATATTATCACACACGACAGCACGCAGCATTAAAAAATGTTGCACACATCACAAGGGACAAATAAAAGGGGGCGACTCAAAAAAAGAAAAAACTTACAAGAGCCAAAAAAGGTTTACATAAGCTTTGGCATCCATGTGATGTAAAAATATATACGTGTATTGTGTGCGCATATATTTGCGCTTGAAGAAGGGGTGGGCACTTACACTATTTTAATTAACACGTACGTAAAAATATACACGTATGTGTAAACATATATTACATGTACATACCCAGGGCTGAGGGTGTGGGGGGGGTAAAAATGTAACGTACACAATGAAGGCAAGATGCTTAAGGGCACATTGCTGGCATGCATAATTGTAGCGCTTTGAGAAAATGAGCTGTGCCCCTTATCACACAGCGCAAGTGTTGATCAAGGAAACGACGAAATATCAAACAAGCCGACTACATACAAAAAAAGGGACCAGAACAGAAGTTCATGTGTACCCATAAGTGCGTGTATATATGAACATGTATGCACGTACTTAATGCTCACAATCTGTTTACTCATATCATTTGGCTTTCAAGCACAGCACCCTCAAGAACAAAATTTCATGCATACACAGGCGCATTGAACTCAAGGGGGAAATATAAAAACAAAAAAAAAAAAAAAAAAAAAAAATTCCAAAGTCCTGGTTTAACCCAGTAATCGTCGCTCGGTAGAAAGCTTTCTGTACGTAAGGACGAAATGTAAAACAAATAGATGAAGCACAAAGGGCAAAACGTGCCGCTTAAAAGGTGCAGTTTAACGTGCCGTATAAATCTTGCACTTTAAAAATGTAAAGGGCAAAGTGAAGGGTTAACCCACTGCATGTAACCTCCATTTGCATATGTACATCACATACAAGGGTAAAAAAAAAAAAAAAAAAAAAAAGTCAAGCGACGGGCCTCACTGACGCAACGTACTTACAGTTCGGTGATGGAAATGAAACAAATGCAACCTGGAAATAACTCCACAATTGGTGAAAGTATACATGCAGGTAAGAACATGACAAGGCATGTGTGCATGTGTTACGCACAAGTGGGGAGATATACACATGCACGAACATATGTATACATTTATATAGTAATTCTAAATGGCGCTTAATGCACGAAATGTAGATAAAGGGCAGCTACGCTATATGAGGGAGAGCGCATTCGTGCATAGCGACAGGGAATTTTCACATTTATCTAAATGTTAGCGCCTGCTTGTCCTCACCATCAATTGCGTGTAGCATGCGTTCGGACATATGCGGGTCAAGCATTTTGTTTCCGCTTGCCCATATATATAACATGTGCATATATATTCCCTTTATAATGGCATGGGGATGAGCCAATTTTTTTTAAACGTTCTATGTGTGCAGGAAGGAGCAAAAACAAAATGCACGAATGTGTAGTGGAGCAAGGGCTTCGAGCTGAAAGAAAAAGGGATGCGAAAATGTAGTGTGTATAGGCATGCTGTGTGTATTTTTTTGTGTACGTGCACATTTGCATATAATTCCTAAACGTCCAGTCCAAATGTGGGAACACCTCTATATAAATGAGGGGTAACGCGTAGTACAGGGGAAAAAAGAACATTCGTGAAACAAAAATGGACGGCACCATTTGGCGCTTCTCAAAAGGAGGGATGAAAATACGCGGAATGTTTAGGCCCTCCTCGGGGGAAAAAATGAACAAAATTATATTAAGTGCGGGAAACGCAGTTCTGCTTTAGCGTCGATTTATGCATTGGGCTTCGCTATGTGTGTTTTTTTTTTTTTTTTTTTTTTTTTATTTCTTCACATATGATATTACCACTCGAGCATTCCGCTGATGAGGAACATAACCTGAAAACGCATTCCCCCCCAAAACAAAAAACACTATTCCCCCTTTAGCAAGGTTTGCGTCAGGCATTACTATCCTGATGCTGTCCATGTAATTCCACTTTCCCCTATGCACATGTGGAAAGAATCGAGGAACAGCTGAATTAACCCCCTTCCCAAGGAATGCACACATGTAGAGGGTTATTATGGGGGGAAAAAAAAAAATATATGACACACATTTTATGTGCATACCACAAAATTAACCACGTTGTGATGTGTACAAAGTGTCCATGAAATGTTCTCCGCATCCGTCCCCTGAGGTTAAGAAAAAAGCAGATAGTGATGATTAAGTAGTAGGGTTAAATATCTATCCCTTTTTTTTATGTCCATTATTTTTGCGAAATTGAAAAGACAACCGTATGTGGACAGCTCACGTGGCGCGAATGTTTTAAAGTAGAATGAGTGCCTACCCAGTTTGCAGAGATACAAATGCATTTGTCATGTAGTTCCTATGCTAATGAACTTCGTTTTGTTCTTTATATATATAATTATTTACCCCCTTGCGCCTGCTTTAGCAGCACAGTGTAGACACACACACTGCAATTTTTTTTGCGGTAAAATGTGTACTTCTGTACTCATAACATAAGTATATACTTATCTGCACATAACATGTATGTTGTTAAATTTATTTATTTTTTTTTATTCATTCCAGTGGTCCATTTAACAAATGCTGCTTAAACAATATGTGCAGAGAAAAAAAAAAAAACAAAAAAGAAAGGCCCCAAGCGGAGGTGCTTACATGGTGGACATACAAAAAGGGAAGTGTACTATTTATAACTTCAAAAGGATAAGAAAGACAAAATAACGAATCGGTAAAATGATGTGGTAAAGTTCGAAAAAAGGCAAGGGGCAAAATATATGCCTCCAAAATTTGATTCCTCCCAACAAGGCCAAAATAGCAAAGATGGAAATTTTAAATGCGGTGTTTATTCTTTTTTTCACTCTTTTGAGTGAGCTACCTGGTGGATGTGTACCCAGTGGCTTCACCCACATGGTGCTTAAAATGGTCGCATGGAGGTTGAAGCCAACTTATGCACACTTTTATCCTTTTAAACATTATAGCCACTTCTTGTATGTCCGCGGGAGGGAGCACGAGCACCCTGTTTAGGAGATCTGTCCGATTGGCTTAAGTCTATTGAACTAGCAGATTGCGATGAATACATTACAGTTCCCTCTGAAGAGGAGCCACACTGTTGGTTATAATTCATGCGCGAGTGTGTACCCGTCATGGTCTTGTTACGCATTCTGCCAGATTTTTTTTTGTGTGTCCTCGTTTGTTTAGATGCCTCACGTTTTGTTGACTTGTTCACACGGAAGGAGCCATTTCTGTTATCGTCTTTTTGAGACATGGAGGAAACACTGCTCGTGTCAATTAAGGAAGAGGAGGATGACGAGGAAGCTCCTTTTCCCCCCTTTTTGCATTTGCTTTTTTTCCTGCGAATATTTAGGCGCTTCTTAATACCACTCAGGTTGATGCTTTGTACTGCCACTAAAAATGAGTGGTATATTCTAAGGGCCAGGGATAGACACACGAAGAAGAATTTGATAAAAAATGGTAACAGTGGAATTAAGGCAGGTGCGAGGATAACCAAAATGGCAATTAAGGCAAATTTCTTTATGACATTTTTGGTTTTATTTGTGTAATACTGAACACATTTTTGAAGGTTAAATAGGTAGCAAAAAACCTCAAGGTTACACTTGCATGTATCGCTATCAGCATCTTGAGCAACTTCCGGTGCGTCGTCGTATTGAGTTATACTAGATTCGGCTTCCATTTCTGGCACTGGTACGTCTACCACGTGCACAGTCTCTTTTGAAGTTAATAGGAAGTCTTCCTTGGAACACTCCTTTCCATTCGAATCGCGAAGAACTGCCTTACACATGGTTTCTATTTCTTTATTTATTAAAAATTTGATAATAAAATAAAAGGCGTAATTCTTGTTAGCCTCAATGAATGCTTTTACAGGACTGATGGGACCAAGGTGAGTAGCTAGCTTCCCGGTGTCCTTATCTGTGCAAATGACATGGCAAGAAAAGTTTGAGCCCACAGTGGCGCTGTTGTTCCATGTATGCACAATTAAGACACAATCCTTCGACTCCGATGCGTTTGAAGAACAATTCTTTGGAGTAGTAATATGAGTAATGGTGGCAATAGAAATTGGCCTAATTTCGTACACCTCCAGCGCACTCGTTTCGAACTTAATCTCCACTGAGTGATTTCCATTGAATTTATATTCAATGAACTGCGTATGTGCAGCTGTCCCTTCGTTGTAAAATACTTTATTATCTAAATCGTTGACATCGACTTTTTTATGATTACTATTAATTTTATCTTTCAAATGGTCAGGCAAAGTGGATTGTTTGTATATCCGCGTCTGTGCTTCCGATGCATATAAATTTTTAATTTTATATTTTGAAGCCCCATCTGAATTCATGGCTGCTTGGTGCGCATCATAATATCTTTGAAGGTTTACAGAAATGCAATGTCCAGGAGGGGCAGCACAGAAGTTCCCATTAGCTGCTCTCCATTTAGTTAGAGACACTCCAAACTTATCACATGTTTTGCCACTCAAATCGAAAAGATACTTAGGCATCATGAGAGCTTTTCTCAAGCACGGATGAATTACGCTACACATGCCATGATAATCGCATCCTTTTAGCAGAGGAGAATTTTCTTCTAGGCCACAATTCCTAGTAACATCGCTAGCTAAGACGTCTACGTCGTTTACAGGAGAAGAAGGAATGAGAATATAATCATTTGATAAATTGACTAACGTGTTTTTCCCATGAAATTCGCTCCTGAGAAGAAGCCACAAGTCGAAATAATCATCCCTAATTTCAGTTATGGAGTCATTCATTTCATATTTCTTTTCCTTTGTAACTAAATCATATGTCTTATTTAAAACACTGCTGACGTCATCATAAGAATATTCTTGCACAGTAATATCAACTTGGGTATTAAATATTGGGGGATAATCTATATCATACACAGCATAGTAAGAAAAGTCCATGATGGCACAGTGTCTACTGTAAACGGTGGCCGATTCAGAAAAGAACATGTTGAAATAAATGCATTTCAATTTTGACCTCTTTATATCTTTATTATCCCTAAACAAGTTGTATGATTGGCATGTACATGCTTCCCCCTTTATATATTCAAGAAAATGAGGTGGGAAATCTCCATCTGGGTTATTTATGTCTTCTATCCTGCGCACGTTACATGTGGAGGTGTACCTCTTAATCTCCCAATCTTTGTATTTTTTAAACTTTTGGTGATTAAAAACGTCCACTACTTCTGTATATTTGAAGGGGATGTCTTTCATATATTTCAGGTAATACAAAATGGTCACGTAATCTCTTCGAATAGTTAAGAAATATCCCTTTCCATCCGGCCTCAGTACCTTCAGTCGTAACACCTACGAGGACATGGGGGGGATGGGTTCAGGGGATAACACACACGTGTAGGCGATTCTGCAGAGATACCTTCCCCTGTGCGCGATTTTTACACTCACCGAGTTGTTCGAAACGTCTAACTGCCCAAACGCAACCATTCTACACGTTGAGTCGTCTGACGAAGATGTGCACACTTTCTTCTTAGCAAAGGAGTGCGCCACCTGAATGAAGGGCGCTCTCTTGCCGCCATCCTTCCGTTTGTGCCCTCCAAAAATTGCGCAGCACAGGAGGACGAAAAATTGAAGTGTCCATGTGGGGTTCATTTTGGCCGAGCCTTCCTCCTTTTACTTCTTCACCTAGTTTTCACGTTCTATCATTAGGGGGGGCGACTGTAGGCAGATCCACTGTTCGCGCGTGCACATGAGGGATATATCTGTCTGTATGTTTGCCTCAACGTGCGCACAGAGGTGAAGGGGGACACCTCCGTGGCCTCACCTCATGACCTCCACATACGCACGCTTCGTCCGTTTATGTCTTTTCCCCCAAATGTAGCATAATATAGCGCTGCGTGGGAGGGGTCGATTGGAGGACATTATTTCTAACTATTCATCACAATTTTTTTTTAAAAAACATATTCCATTGCTTTGTCCCATTTTTGGCATAATTCTTCCCACTAAATTCTCTCCCTCGCGTTGTCTCCCTTTTGCATTTTCTCCAACGAGGGAATTTGTACCTTTGCACATCTACACGCAGCATAAAAATGCCTCACCCCAGGTCCAACTTGTGCACTTTTTTTTTTTTTTTTGTTTTTCGAAAATAGGTAGGCAATAAAATTAGTAATAGACACGATGTGGTGATTCAACATGATGACTACTGGTAGGGATGAAGATGCTGCTTTTATTGTTAATATAGTTTTGTCGCCTAGAGGATGACGGGAAGGCCCGTGTTTTCTTTTTTTTTGGGGCGAGGGAAGACATCACACTTAAAACGCTTTGTTAACATTGCGCATATGTTGCATAGGGGGAAAGAAGGTTAAATGGTAAACACAAAAAATAACGCCCCACCCATGAAAATCCTTGACCACTTTGTTGTCTGTTCAAATGGTTAGTGCCACTGCTGCGTTGAGTAAAAAAAAAGCACCTTGTGGAGGCGTCGCAGTTATAATTTGTACCTATTCGAACGCTCACAGGGCGGATAAAAATCGACAAGGCGCACACTGTTGCAAAAACGATGCTCGTGAAATGCCTCATTGTTAAGCTGGTTAAACAAACTTAAAGTGAAACACCCGGTTCTGAGTCCAACGAATAACGCAAGAGCTCCTCTGTGTGATAGGGACATAGCAGAGCAGTTGTCGCATATTTTGCACACGTCCGTTGGGTACACTTCCCCCAACTACAATTGCGGACATTGTTCTTTTAGTTTAATAAATTGTACGTGGGACACAAGTTAAAGTGGAGAGAAATGGTGGAAAACACATTATAATGTTAAGCCATAAATCATAATGCTGTTGAAGCAAAAAGCACAATGCAAATCTGCTTGCAACAAGCTGCTTCGTGCCCATGCTGTTGCGCGTCTGCACGTGGTAGGTACTAGTGAGTATGCCCATTCTTGTGCGTATTAGAGGAATGGGTAAAAAAAAAAAAAAAAGGGGGCATATGCTTTATGACGTCTTAATTATAGGTGTCTGTGTAAGTAAGCGGTGTGGGCACATCAGTGCACTAGCACGCGTCCACGCCGCTAAAAAGAGCGACAAAATGCAACTGCCCACTATATGATCAAGGGCTTGGGGATATCAGTCGCATCCGCCGCCCCCTTATCAATTGGGCTTATGCCAGAAGGTGCCTTTCACACGCTGTTCACGTGCGTGGGGTTATAAGTCTGGCCACGGCGCCATCTGCCAGAGGGCAGAAGAGAACAGAACAGTCACACGTTATAGTTGATGTGGTTTTCATTCGGAGCGTAGTTAAAGAAGAGGTAGTTCACTCCCTCGTCCAAAATGATGAAGGCGTTTATGGGGATGAATCTTCCCTTGTAGGAAAAGAATTGCTGAGTAGCCCTAATGTCTAAAATGACCTCTAACAAGCTATGCAAAAAGGAAATATTCAAAACGTTAACAGTGGTCTGGATTATAATGTTTGTCATGGATGGATTATCATTGTAAATGATTAAAGTGTATTCTTTGAGTTCATCTGAATGTTCACTTAATTTGGGAGTGACGTCTGCATGATGCTGGAGAATGCTGTTTCCAACTTTTCTGTACTCATAATATATATATTTATCTACAGCGCTTCTGGAATATTTTGTGATGAATTCATTTTGGGATAGTTTTAATTTGATATCATCTACATCTGTTAAAGATGGTTTGTACAAAATGAAACCGTATGGTGTCAACGAAGTTGCATTCAGCATTCGCTCTGTTAACACATCTTCCATATAATTGTAGAGCGCTTCATAAATTTCCTTTTCGCTAAATATGATATTGTTGTATGGTTGACTATTTAGGATAATATCCTTTTTGGAAGAAAAAAAGTTGGCAGTAGAAATTATGGATAATTCTTTTCCATATTTGTTTTTGGTAACAAATTGTTCATGTGAAAACAGAATGTGTTTTTCAATAAAGCTGTGGATGTTTTCTACGTCTTCTATGTACTTGTCCATTTTGCTATTTGGCTTCATTTGTTCTATTTGGAAAATTCCACACAAATCTTCCACGTACATAATTAGTGAAATTTTTTGCAGTAGGAATATGAAGTAATCCATGTCCACTTTGTATTTGTTCTTCGAGCTCGAGGCGAATTTGAGCATGACCGTGTCTTTGTCCAGATACTCCTGGAATATCATCTCTTCGTTGTAATTAATGTTCTTCAAGTAGTTATCTAAGTAGTTTAGGTTTTTGCAATAATCCACCGTTTTCCATACATGTACATTTTTAAAAAAATAAATTAAATACTTGACGTTTATCGCTTTTTTCCTTTTACGCTTGCAAGGTTTTCCAATTTTGCTCTGCAGTTTGAGACACTCCCCAGAATGTTCGTCGCTCTCATTTACGTTGTTCTCGCTTTCCGCTTCCTCTCCCCCATCTGTCGCACTTCCTCCTTGGCCCTCGTTGGGATCCTTCGCATCTGATGAGGACTCCTTCATCACATTCTCTTGCTTCCCAAAAAAGCCCAACTTCAAATTCACGCTGTCGCTTTCGTCCATGTCCTTTTCGTATAATTTCTTCCCCTCAAGGTCAAAAAGGTTCATGTGCAGCTTTTTCGCATTGTAAAAGTCTTCATGGTTGAGAGGGCTTTTCAAAGGAATCCAGTCACTGTTTCCCATGATTTTGTGATTCGCGAGGTTTCCACCATCGCCGCTACATCCACCGCTGCCACAATTATTATTTCCTCCCTTGGAGTCTGTGGAGAAAGTCTCCAGCTTAGGCACCATGAAGTGGCCCAACTTGGGGCTTCCCTTATTCATCAGGTGTATAGAATTCACTTTGGAAGGATTAACCGACACCATAATTTCCAAGTCGTGATCGTCTTTGCCTTGGTTACTGTACGTGGGGAAAAACTGGTCTCCTATTCGGTACGAGTTTATGTAAAATATTTTCGACTTCACTTCGTCAATGAGTACGTTCTTAACATCTTGCATGTCTTTCAGGTCCACGGGGGAGGCGTTGTAGTATATGTTTAGTGCGTCTACATCTGGGTATGTAAGCTTGTCAGTAGTGGCCTCACTTCCGTTGTTGTTGGTGGTGGTTCCGTTGTGTGATTCCTCTGTGGTGGTGGTAGTGTATTTGGTGGTTTTGCTGGACGTTTCGCTGGTGCTTAGACCATGGTCGTCATCCATGCCTCCCTCAAATTCACTACCAAGGCTAGGTCCGCTTCCCCCACCGACGACGCCACTTAGAGTTGCATTGGCGGATGCGCTGCACGACTTCAAGGGGGGGAAGTACCTGCTGTTGTGGTAGTAGGCCGTCGTCTGAAGGTCCTTACTATCCAAAACTTTCACAGACTTCTCTGAGGACATTTTTCCATTCTTTTTAATATAATCCAATTTCTCCTGCAGAAGTATTAACTGCTCCAGCAAGTAAGAGGGAGTAAATTTCTCCAAGTATTCCGGGTTGTTCGACTGGGTAAAATATCCTTTCATACTGTATGTGTACTGCTTACAGTAGCTGATCATATTGTTGTTGTAGGATTTACAAGGGCAAATAAGAGGTATGGTTTCTTTATTTATGTTTAGCAAATCTAACAGATTTTCAAAATTTGTGGCGCTAAGTTCGTATTCTGCATTACTCTTGACAAGCATGACATTGTTATGGAAGTGGAATGACATTTTCTCATACAATAGCATATCATTATTTGCTAGCTCTAATACATCTGTGATGCCCATGCAGTATGAGGCACACACAGATTGTGTCAACTTCTCAATAAAAATAATCGTTTCGGTTATATTAAACACTTTTAAGGACTTCATGATATTTAAGAGATCCTTGAAATTGCTTTTTACTGCATGTTCTCTAAAATCAAAGAAATTTAAGAATCCATTTGTTCCATTTTGTCCTACTTTAACGTACATGGTGTCTTTAAGATTCTCTGTTGCCTTTTGGTCTACCAAGTCTTTCTTTGTTTTCATTTTTTTGCTCTTCATTTCTTTTTTTTTGTGTATGGGTCTGCTTTTGTTGCTTTGTCCAAGAGTATTTTTGTCCTCCAGCAGTTCGTTGTTTTTGCTTTCGCTCGGCTCTAGATAGTCTGCCACTTCTGGAAACTTGTTTACCAACGGGTTTGCGGAGTTATGCTGTGCCTTATTGTTCTCCGTACCGGTTTCGCCATCCACTTGTTCTATCTCTTCCGATTCTTCTTCCTCGTCCTTATCGCCTTTTCCCCCTTCCAGTTGCACGCCCTTGGCGGTTGGCGTGTTGCTTCCCAGTTTGAACATGTAATACGGGTTGTAATAGGTATAAGAAAAATCGATGCCTTTTTTTTCATTTTCTGTTGGTGCCTTGTCAGTTGTTTCCTCATCATCAACGTTTTGTCCATGAATTTTTTTATCCTTATGGTCATATTTAGACTTATTGTTTGGTTCATATCCTTGGTAAGGTAGCTGATGCTGCAGTTGCTCATCTTCGTCTGGGTCTTCATCATCGTCGTCATTATCCCCATTGCTTCCTTCCTTTATTTGATATTTTCCAGTCTTTTTTTTCCCCCAGCATTTATTTTTACTTCCCTTTCTGCCTGACTTCTTTTTAATGTTGTCGTACATTTCCTTCATTGCGTATTTGTATACATCGTATGACCCTTCCTGGTGTGCCCCCCTCTGCATGTCCCATTTTTCATGTGCTGGTTTATACTCCTTCTCACCGTCATAGTAAATCTTGTCATCATAGTAGTTGTATGGGCAGTTCTTATCATCTGAACACACCTCGGCATATTCGAAGATGTTGTTATGAAAAGGAAATGGGGGTGCAGCGTATGGGGTGTTAAAGTAATTCATGTAGTTTGTATAGAAATTCACTTTAAGTTCTCCATTGGAGTTGTTATTTAGTTTGATGTTTTTCATGGCTAGCAAGTTTTTGAGTTTTTTTCCTACGATTTTGATTTTCTTTTTGTTTTCCACATAGTGATGGTCGTCATAGTAGGGTTCGTCGTGTGCGTCGTCTTGGTAGTATTTGTCGTACTCATACTGCCCATCGTGATGGTGGTGATGGTCCGGGTTATCGTGGTGGCTTTTTTCGTCGTATTCGTACTGCCCATCGTGATGGTGGTGATGGTCTGGGTTATCGTGGTGGCTTTGTTCGTCGTATTCGTATTCCCCATCTTGATGGTGGTGATTGTCCGGGTGGTTGTGTTCGTCGTATTCGTATTGTACATCGTGATGGTCTTCATGGTGATGATGGTCCTCATCGTAGTGCTCATCGTGATTGTCCTCATGGTGGTGATCGTGCTCACCCGGATCCTCTGGCGCATCGTATTCCTCACCATTTTCGTAATCCACATCCTCCGGGTATTCTTCATTGACACCTTCGTCGTAGTGATGAGGATATTCAGGCGTCACCTCGTACTTTTCGCTTTGATCATAATGGGTGGGTTCTTGAAACTCCTGGGTGTCGTAAGGGGCGTTGTTCTCAGCGGGGTCGTCCTTCTCCTGAGGGTAGCCGTCTTGTGTGGAGTCATCCGTGTGTTCATCTTCCCCCCAGTCCACCCCCTGCACCACCGTGTCATCATATTTGGGATGCACCAAATTACTATGCAAGATTAAATTAATCAAATTGAGTCCCTTCTCGTAAACACTCTCAAAATGTTTCTGCAGGTTTTCCTTGCTGAGGGACTCTACGTCCACGTACACTTCATTTAAAACCCCAGAGAGGTGTAACACCCTTTTGTCCACATCATTGAAAGTTACATAAATGCTATAAAATTTAAAAAAGTGATCCAAAAATTTATCAAACTTTTCTGTATCTGTGGGGTGCAAGGTCATATTGTTTATATTTTCTAATGCACCTTGTATGTCGTCTGCATTTTTATTTTCCGTATTATCAATAAAGGTGCTTTTTAGCAAAGCCAACAAGGTAGCCCTTTTATTTTTGTCGTCATCGATTGTTAATGCATTTTGCCAGGAGAAAAGAAAAAAACAGAATAAAATGGAGAGTACAAAAAGGGGAGTTATTCGTAGCATGGTCACTAGAGGTTTGGAAACGAAAGTGTAAAGTGTGCAGATTTAAAAGGCGCAACGAGGACGCAAAGAGGGTAAGGACGTAAATATATTGTTAACTTGTTTGAAGCTAATTTTTTCCTTTTTTGTACCCATTATGGGTTCGTACATTCGGAAAAACGGTTAGCTCAGTTATTGTTTGGTTTATTTTGTTGTATTTCGCCGCTTAGCCTTTAGCTGTTCAGCATTTTTGCTTTTGAGCATTTCACTTAGAACAGTTCTCAAGTGCATTTCCTTCCTTTCACCTTACTTTGATTCCACTTTATTGGAACGGAAATTTGCAAAACTGCGCATATCCAGCCAAAAAAAAAAAAATTCACCTTAAAAATGTTCACCCTTTGACATTAGACTACACAGAAGGAATTGCTTTTAGATATTTATTAGAGGGAAACTGGAGAAAAAAAAAAAAAAAATAATAATAAAATACAGTGTGCGGATCCGAGATAAGAATTTTTTTTTTTTTTCTCGTGTGTTGATGTGTGACTTGATCTGCCTTTATGTGTGCCCTTTTTTTTTTTGCATCTTCCGAGCCTGATAGGCAGGTGTGTGAGATCATTTGATAACCATTGGGCAGGGAATGAACTCCGCAAAAGGGGATATGTTCATCTCTCTCTCTTGTTGGGCAAACAGGCAAATTGAACGGAAAAGAAATTACCAAAATGAATAAGGTGAACAGGTGAAACAAAATGAAATAACCCGCATGTATCAATTTATTACACCCGAGATAAAGCGTAATGTGCATATATAATAGTGCGCAAAGAGCTAAATTGCATACACTAATTGAGAGCACTTTTATTTCCTTCCATTTCATGCGATATGTGTAAATCTTCCACTAGTATATTTCATTTTTCGTTTCTGTTTCCTTTACCTTTTTGCTTTTCAAAATTGGTCCTTTGTGTTAATTTGAGGAAGGGTGTGATACGCTGTTCCAGTTCGTTTCAACTTTTTTTTTTTTTTTTTTTTGTTATACACATTAAACGTGAAGTGAAAAAAAATTACTTTTTCAGAGTTGCAAGCACGTAGCAGTGGGCCAAAATGGGAGGAACAAAAAAAGCATCAGCCATTGCAAGGAGTATACATTTTTTTTTTTTTAAAGTTAATATTTGGGGAAAGCATAACCATGCTATATGAGTTGGCTTATGAGTAGGCAACAATATGAGGCATGAAAAAAAGAGCCCATTTTAACTGTTCCAAGTTTATCAAATTGGAAGTAAATTAAGGTACACTTTTGGCGCAAATTTCTTTCTGTTGTAATAGGGATCCTCCTCCTGGTGTGGAACGCCCAAAACGAGGTTGCTAGCTTTTTTTTTGTCTCCCCATTTTAACATTTTAAAATGAATAGACAGGACTGCTCCTTTTCCAGTTAGTACTTTGTTCACCAGAGCAACAAACTACACTTTTTTCCTTCAAGGGTGTGTGACGTAACACGACGTATATACACTTATTTACAAACCTTTTTGTGTGCACATATTTGCGACTGCCTTGAACTGTCCTGAACAGTTTGTGTGCAAAAGGGGAACAGTGTCCTAAATGTTTGTTCTTTTTTTGCTTCTTCTTCAAAGGAATTATTACCGTTGTTACGCTATTCATTTTTCTGTCCCATTCAATGCTTTTCCGTTTTCCATGCTCCCTTTTGAACATGTCGCAAATGGGTCTGCTCAACTTGGCCTGCCCTAACGCGCAAGCGGAATTTTGGCGTGCAATGTTTTCCATGCACAAATTAAAAAAAAAAAAAAAAAAAAAAGCCATAATAACTTCACACAGTAAGGTAGAGCAATACACAATTAAACAGAACTGATCATTTTGACATAAAATCAGTGTTTCCCCTTAACCACAACATGTTTACACGCGTTATTCCCACTTTTACCATTCCTATATAAGGTCATATTCGTTGGTGCCAACTGGTATGCAACTTTTTGGGATGTACTTCTCGTCATTCGAAGGAGTTACCAGTAATAAAGTATATATGCCCCTTATTTCATATCCTTTTTGTTTTTTTTTTTTCATCATACGATGACAAGGGTTTGCCTGGTAACTGGGGGCACCGGTTTGCTAGGAAATAGTTTACGGGAAGTAATAAAAAAGGAAACCCTGCACTTTGTAGAAAATGAAAATGAGATAATTGTAAATTCGGAGGATAACAATGTAATTAAGAAATATATTTTTTTAAGTTCCAAAATGTGTGATTTAAAAAATTTTGATGAAGCGCAACAATTTTTCGAAAAAAACGAAATTACGGATATCATACATTTTGCGGCATATGTAGGTGGTCTATACGCGAATAAAAACAACAACCTGCAGTTTTTGGTAGACAACTTGGAGATTAATTTAAATGTGGTTAAACTGTGCCACAGGCATTCGGTATGCAAAGAGAAAACAAAAAAAAAAAAGTCATACGGCAAGTGTGCTCGTGCGGTTGTATGTACCTATGTATATATATGCACACGTGAATGGAGCGAACCTCTACATGCTCAAGTGTGTTGTCCACTTAATATATGAAAATTGGCACACATTGCTTAAAGAGCTCGTCTCAAATGGGGGAAAATATGTGCGCACAAAACCGTTGTCTAGTCTAGGAAAACATATAAAGACATGGTGAAAAAAATATAATACCGATATCCGCGTGGAGGCTTCGTCTCTTGAGAAAAAAAAAAAAAAAAACTCTCCTCTTTTTTATTCCAATGTTATTAGATTACGAGAGGAATATTCACTCTGTCTACATGTGTCTTCCCAGAAAAGTGCACTTTGCCTTTAACTGAAGAAGACATACATGAGGGAAGGTGCCACCTGAGCAATGAAGGATACAGCGTGTCAAAAAGAGTTCTAGAAGTGTTGGTCAGATTTTACAGAGAAAAATACAACTACGACTGGATTTGCATAATACCTACAAATGTATATGGAAAATACGACAACTTCAACTTAGCCTCTTCTCACGTAGTGCCTTCTATTATTCATAAGATGTATTTGGCAAAAGGTAGTTCAAAAGTGTTGCTACTTTTAAGAGATGGAAAAGCGACGACATTTCTGTCTTGAAAAACGGAACTTAAAAATGGTTACATGTGTATATGTACACATATACGCACACATATGTGTTTTTTTTTTTTTTTTTCCCTCAGTGAACAATACAGATGTACGGCTCATGGGCGATGGGACGGCTGTTCGACAATTTATTTACAACAAAGACATAGCCACCATTTTGTTTTACATCCTCAATACGTATTATTGCAAACATTTCAAGATAGTTAAGGATGAAATTTACAGCGTTATATTCTCCACTAATTTACCTTCAAACGGTACGCATATAAATGTGTGCTCACAAATATATATGCATGTACATTTTTGAATAAAATTTGCCCACAACAGTGTTGCTCCGTTTGTTACTTCGGCAGAATTAACCATTAAGGAGTTGGCGGAGAAAATAAAACATTTCCTAAAATTCGACAAAGAAGTATTGGTTCGTTCGTAAAAAAATATACATATATGTATATATACATGTATATGTACATATGAAAAAAGAAAACTGCTTAAAATGCCCTAAATGAACAAAATTTAACCCCCCTGTTGCTTAGTTCGACGAAACAGCGGATAACGGAATTCATCGGAAGGTTTCAACATAAGAACGAATGGGATATTGCAGAAAAAAAGGGAGTGTTTTTTTTTTGCTATACGAGTTTACTTTCACAGTGAAAATATATTTTCTTTTGTTTTTTTTTTTAGACATCAAGCAGCGACAAGTTAATGAAAATTTTGGATAACTCTTTCGCGTTTACTGACATAGACAAGGGTTAAAAAAAGATGCAAAAAAAAAAAAAGTAAAAATACACACTCTGTAACGTTGCTCAGTTTGTAATCGGAACGAACTGAAAGAGCGCATTATGAGCAGCCCCCTTCCTAAACATTATGTAACACATTTAATGCTCAATACAACATTGCAGGTTTGGAAGAAACGATCGAATGGTTCATTGGCGCGTACGAGAGCGTAAGAAGGTGATATTTCGGCTATTGCAAGTTTGCATACTCACCTTTCACACACATGGTGTTGTGTTATTTTTGCAAAATGTTTTACTCAGTTTATCCACCTTCACTGCAATTATGTGACAACTAACAAACTCTTGTAGAGTGCCAAAAAAGAACTGACGTGCGAGGGGTATTCCACACGCACATTTGTACTTTCCAAATTTATTTTGGACGGGAAAAATAAATAAATACACACATAAAACTGCATACACACCATCTTAACCGTTCCGTAAATGAAGCATACAACAGTATGCGAAGCATTTGTAAAAAAAAAAAAAAAATATATGCGGCTTTGAAGGATTAGAAAGAACAAGTAAATTCAAATAGGAGAGTTATACATATGCCTTGCATACGTGCACGATGTCTATGCTATGCGTACCACATATATCCTTTGGGACAACCTGAACCTGTGCTATGCTCCCCGTCTGAAGCTTAAACCGGTGATGAGTAAAAAAGGTGGCAGTTTTATTCAGTTTTCATTTTACAAGCGAATTGCGCAGCGCAGACGGGGGTGAAGAAGCTATTTTTTATTTTCCCCTCCGGAAGGAAACTCGCGACGAAACAAATTTTGTACATATTAACAAATTCACGAATGTGTATTTTTTCTCAAAATTGGCCCCTCTAACATGTAACATTCTTTGCTGTTAGGCGTAAAGCATACTTTTCGACTTGGGGGGTTTTCACTATGTGTAAAATTTTATTACAACTGGTAAAACAAGTTCCAATTTTATTCTATTAGTTTTTTTCTATTTTGCTAGCTTATCATTTACATGATCTTATCGCCCATAACAAAATTGCCCGTCCTGCACTGTCCATCCCTTCTGTGTGCAGCGTCTTTTTTCAAGCAAAAAATGCATTATTGTGTAAATTCCATGGACAGGAAAAAAAGGCACACCAGACTGTCCACCGCCGCGATGGCTTGTCATTCTGCATAAATGTACATATTTCACAAGTCGAAGAAAAGTAGAAAACAGTGGAAAGTAAAAATGTGACTGACGTTTTACGTGGAATAACTGGTACTACATTTTTTTCTCTCCATATAAGAATTATTGCTACTTTTTTCAACATGTGGACAGCTAACAAAAAGCACAGATAAATCCAACAATGGCATTTTTTTTTTCTGCCTTTTCACATTTTAGCGCAAGAAATGACTATACATTTTTTTCCCATAAAAATGCATGAAGGTAAAGGGTCCTACATAACACTTAATTGCTAAATTGTATGATACATAAATCGTGCCACAACTGGTGTTTTAAAACAAAGCGTAGAGAATTTTTTTTTTTTGTTTTTTGTCATCTTTTTCGTAATTATAACTACATGTGCGTGAACATTTCGTAAAATATTAATGTACACAATGTAGCACACATTTGTGACTGTATTAAAAATACAACCATTTTTTGTTATATGGTACATGTGGCAGTTGTTCCTCTTCATATTCCTCTTTTTTTTTCTCTCCTTCCGAGCTCTGCTAAGCCAAATAAAGATATTTTCACCAGCTGGTGTAACTTCGTTTGATCCTTCCCTAGGTGATTTACGAAAATGTTTACATGTGAGCGGTTTAAGCCTTTTTGCACCACGCATATTATATTACGCATGTACGCACGATTCAACGTATGGACTGCACGCTAGCGTGCATATAAATGTAAAAAAATTCACATCAAAGTATCGCTAAAGAGAGGCCCCTAGGAATGTAGGTCTTTTTGACCCGCCATACGTTTATTATCAAATCTTCATATATGTATTTATACAGGGCATATAATTATCCTCTGTGGTGCTATTATAATTTTCCTTCTTATGCACAGGTTCGTCCGTTCGTGTGGCTACTATATCTTACCATTATGATGTACGCGCTGATGCACGCGTTTCACCCTTGTCACATGTGACAATCTTGTGCAAGTCAACACAGTTGAGGGTCGGTGTTGGGTTCCTGTGCGCGCCTTCTTTAACAAGTATTAGTGTATATGAATCCACAAAGCTGACCCACCTTATACACGTACTTATATAGCCCATTTTCCGTTTAACCTGTTTTTATCCCATTATAAAAGCCAACGCCGGTTCACGAAACCCCCCATGGCTGCAAAATGGAAGATAAATCTTACGCAACCTTTCACAAGAGAAAAAAAACAAGAGCGAATGCAAAAGTAAGCAGAGAAAAAATTAAGAAGAACTTTTTAAGAAATGAAAAATTCGTCCGAGTTTCAAGTATAAGCAAAAGTTCAACGAAGAAAACATTTTTACATACCTTGTTCAAAAGCTTTATCAAGCCATACAATGAGAAGAACACAGCGTTTTACTCCATTTTGTGTATAATTAATAACATCTACAAATGCCACTACTTTTCGAAGCACCGCTGCTTGATTTGCAAGCCACTGCACGAAAGGAGCGCGTCCGTTTTGCAGGGTGGAGGTGGTTACTATGATGGGTGTGATGGGGAGGACAGCGCGTCTGCGTCTGGCAGGGGTTCCCTCACCGCGTGCACCAGCATGTCCTCCATCACTTCCACCACCGCGTCCAGCACTGCCACCGTCACCTTCCCCTATGACATATACTACAACTTGCGAAAAATCAACTTGATTGAGTCTGGAAAACTGAAGAGCAGTGGGAGCCGCGGCACATCAGAAGGGAGTCGCGAAGCGGGTGAAGCAGCGGGGACCCACTGCGTGCGGGAGAAGGAATGTTCAGAGGCAGAACCGAACACAGGGTTGTTACAGTTGGACCCAGAGAAAAGGAAAATAGGGGAGGGTGGAAATGAAAGCGAAAGTGAGGCCAAAAATGGGGCCGCACGTACAGTGACCACAGGGGTAGTTAATGCCCCCTTTGGAGAAAAAAACGCACGCGAATGCCCCCACCCAGAGAACAAAGCCAATCAACAAATGGATACAGCAAAAACCAATGCCTTAAATAACAGGCCAAGATCAAGCGCAGGGGTGGTGAGGAAAAACGTTTCCGTTACCGATAAGGAAGTGTCCCCAATCTGTGGACCAATTCAAAATTTTATAAGTCAAAAGTTAAACCTTACAAATGTGCAGCACTACTACTTCCTCTCACACGGCAAGGAACAGTTTGAAGATTTGTACAATTTGGGGGTGTTCGAAAAGATAAATATATTCGACAAAATTTTACTGGACTTAAACCAAACTGAAATACACCCTAATGTGTTAAGGACGGGAATTTTTTTTAACAAATATTTGAATACGACCCACAATGACAGGAACGTAGATTTGCTCACAGCTCTCAAGTCTTTTATTAAAGACTACTCTCTCCCTCCCTACGAACCCATTAACAGACACATGAAAGTTGTGATTGACAAAGAAATAAATTACATCATAATGTGCAAAAAGCATAGCATCAGCATGGGGGAAGTTATTAGGTGGTTTAAAAATATGATTACGGAACATATAGGAAAAAATATCCTTGAGAAGACGAGGGTAATAATTATGAACAATATTAATAATTACATAAGAACCAAAATTGTCATGCCTTCGATATACATTTCTAACTATGTAGCAGAGCACATCATTGCCCACAACGATATTTTGCTAATTTACACCTTTGATTATGATATATATTTGTCCATAGTCAAGGCGAAGAGAAGTGGGAAAAGGTTCGAAATTGTTTTAGTTGACTCAGAACCTTATAAAAATTCATATGATATTAAATTGTATACAAAACTAGGGATCCCAGTTACGTACACATTAATTGGCGCTTTATTTTACAACATAAAAAATTGCACCAAAGTCTTGCTAGGGATTGATGCTATTATACATAATAGTGTTTATGCCTATGTGGGTACGAGCATTATATGCATGATGGCTCACCTTAGTAATGTGCAGGTCTATATAGCTTGTGAAACGTACAAAATCAGTAACAAAATTATTATTGATAGTTTTAGCATAAATAATATTAATAATAACTTGGACATTTATAATTATATATACATGCACCACCATCCCCACCACAGACACCATAGTCACTACGACCACTACCGACATCAGCAGAGGCAACAGCAACAGCAGCAACAGCAGCAACAGCAGCAACAGCAGCATGTGGCCTCCCAAAAAAGTACCACCCAAAAAAATAAATGCATAGATCACGGGGTCATGTTTAACCGCAAATTAAACACATTCATAAATTCCTACTCTGATATAACCTCCAGTGCCGTCCTTTTTAATAATCACGAAATTGGTTCAGGAGGCGATGCTCCTTCCAAGCCCCTTATCAAATATTTCGCTGTAGAAGCAGGGAAAAAAGGGCCAGATGCCCTTTCCCCCTCTAGTAGCACATCAAACCATGCGCAGGAAAATGTGTACCCATTAGAAGTGGACCCACCCTCCTCCATTCGTGGTAACCCAAACGGGATCCTTCTCAAAGGAGATCTTAAAATGAATTGTCAACCGAATGAATCGACGGATCACCCAGGGGGTAGCCATGCAGAAGTGTTAAAAAACAATAACAATTCCTCGCCGAGTGGCTCCAATACGTTCCTCAAAGATGCAGACACTACGCGCAGCGGAAGGGACGCCTCCACATTGTTTCCCAAGCACGACGAACCCAAAAGAGAAACGCCCATTCAGACGAATCAGGAATATCCCAACGAGGAGGAAGAGGTATGTACTAATAAGAATAGCGAGATTGATATAAAGGGTCCCGGGAAAGAAGTCAAAATAGTTACCACTGCAAGTATGCTTACAAGCAGAAGCACGAGCACAGTAGGATCCACAAAGGGAATACTGAAAGTACCGGGAAAAACATCCTACGAAAATAAAAATGAAAAAAATAATTCCCTTTTAAGCAATAAACAGAATTGTGGAAACGTTCCCACTTATAGTAAAAATGTTGTTAAAAAGAATAGAGTGCTTTTTAACCTTAAAAGTGACAAAGGTAGTTATGCCTCCATTTTTAACAGCCACACTGTTGCCCATTCGAATAACTTGAGCGCGAACATTGAAGCCAGCGAAAGTGACGAAGAAAAAATATGCTGCAATAGCATTTGTGATTCTATTTGTACCTCCATTGGAAATATGAACATAAAAAATGTATGCACAGATACACATAACGAGACGAACCTGTTTAGTTCCGTCCAATCGCACATAAGCAAAATTAATTCCACCACGGACAAGTCTTTTTACGTTGCCAATATATGTAATGATGTCACACCGCTGAAGCACATCACCTATATCGTCACCGAGGTGGGCTTATACACGAGCGCAAACAGGAACGCATTAAAGGTGTTTGTTCAGAATAACCTCTAGCTCCTTTGCGCCTGAGTGGATGTGTTCGTCTTAACGTGTGCTCACGTGCACATTTGTGCGCATTAGTGTGCGTGTGCCCGTCCACTGTGTTTTGTCGTTTTTTTTTTTTTAGTGCCTCTCATCCCTTTTTTCACCCCTTATTGTTTCTTACACCTTTGCGAAAAAGGAGTCCCCAAAAAAAAAAAATATTCATTTTGTAGCTAACCCTTTTCTCGCAAAAGGGCAAACTGATATTCTCTGTGTACGCCATTTTATTTTGAATGATTCTTCCGCCCTGTTGTTTAAAATAACCCCAATCGGAAACGTAAGCATATGTATAAGCGCACTTGTGTCTTGTGTATGAGCTCCCACCTACACGTATTCCAGTGTTACGGATGTCACGTGGAAAAGGAACCATCTTAGCCACAGAAATTAGTCCCGTTTTGCGAGTATAAAATGTCTGCCCCCTTGCGCAGATTCCACGTTAAATATTGGCTAACAGGTGGAGGCGGCAAAAGTCCTGAAGGTCTTTGCGCATACGGCCTACGTCGTTGCGTCAGATATGTCCTTTGGGCGGCGCGCGCCTTAGTCTAATTTAAAGGAACAGCCGAACCCAATTTGTAGACACACACTTTTATGTGAAACAATGCACTTCAGCTGGCTTTGTACCTCTCGAATTGCATAAAGGGGAATAACTAACAAGTTGGCGCTTTTTAAGACTAAACAAGTTTAATAAGCGTGATGATCGCATGACCATCACATGACACGGAGTTGCTAAAGGCAACAGAAAAAAGGGCTTAAATTGGGAAAAAAAAATGTTTCTTAATTATGTGTCTACGTGAAAAACAAACAAGGAGATATGCACGCAAAAAAAAAAAAAAAATATAATAACAAAAAATATAACAAAAAAAAAAAAAAGCCTAACGATTTAGAAACCTGAGGTGGGAACTCCCCTACATTTTTCTGCTACGATTCATTCTACTGAAAATAAAAAATAGGGACATGCATACATATATGTGTGTGCGTAGGGGTGTAATTATGTACGCTGTCACACGAAAGAGCGTGCACACGCGCATGCACAGCGGCACGCGTTTAAACGTGCCTCCCCCCTCCCTCAGCTTTCAATGTCTCTTCGATAATTGGTAATTTTGCTTCTGTCCCTTTTGGAAGTATTTTTTCTCTTTTTGTCGCTTACGTCTGAACACTGCATAGCCAATGTAAAGGCAAAAAAGACCACGAGGCCTCCTAAGTAGTACATCAGATATTTTTTAAAATGGTCTATCAATTTGTTTAAAAATGTTTTGTTGTTTGTTCCGTGCCCAGGGGAAGCATGCATAAGTGTTGGGGGCATGCCTGAGGTGTTTTTCTGCTGATCACCATGTGGGTGATGAATGTGCCCCTGGTGTAGGGCTTCCTGAACATTAAGTTGAACGACACTTCTTAGCAGTTTCATGAAATCATTTTTAATATCATCAGGGATGTGTATATCTTCGTTTATTTTTCTGCAAAGTGGTGGGAAAAGAATCAGCGTAAAAAATGAGCATACTAGAGGAGAGAAAATCAGACAGTTGGGGGGAGGATAAACTGTGATTATGTGCACTAACTACATATATATGCCTATGTGCACACACATACACTCTTGTACATAACTTTGAATCGAGTGAAAGAAAAAAAAAAAAAAACCTACACGTTATTGTTGTAGGGTAAAATTGGGTTCTCTCTCTTCGGTATGGAAGCGCTTAAAACTGGAATTACATTTTGCGCCACGTTGGACAGGGGCGCACTTGTAGGCTGTCTCTGTTCATTATTATTTACATTTGGCGCATTCGTTTTTGCTTCTGGGTTATTATGAGCAGACTGGTTGTTATTAGCTTCTTTACCGCTCTGTTGTTTTTCATTTGCGTTATGCGTTTTTTGGTCGTGATGTTGGTCGTGCTTATCCCCCTCGTGATGCTCTACATGCTTGTTCTTATTGCTTCCATGGGCATTTATTTCTTTTTTATGTTTGTCTTCATTTTTTTTGCTTCCCTTTTGTTGTTTCCCAATATTTGTTTTGTGTGATGCCTTCTTTCCCGTTTCTTCTTCTTCGTCGTCGTCCTCCCCTCCCCAATCCTCCTCATTTTCCTTCTCATCATCTTCGTCGTCCTCATAATTTTCGTCATCATCGAAATCTCCTTTTGTTTTTTTTTTCTTGTCTTTTTTATCTTTTCCCTCTTTGTCTTCTTTTACATTTTTTTTTTTTTTGGAATTGTTTTTGGGTTCCCCGTCTTCGTCGTCTTCTCCATCAGGTTCATCGTCGTCCCCCTCGTCTATACTATCGTCGTCGAATGCGTCATCTTTGCCATCCTTTTTACTCTTCTCCTCATTTGATGGTTTTTTTTCACCATTTGTTTCCTGCACCGCATGTTCCTCCTGTTTCCCCTTCAAATCATCTTCTCCTGTGTCGTTTTTTTTTTCCTTCTCTTTTTTGCCGTCCTTTCCTGCAGGCACTTCGCTATCACTTGCTTCCGTTTGCGACAAGAAAGAGAAGTCTAGTAATATTGGGAAAAAAAAAAATTAATAAAATGTGCATCAATGCCTTTTAATTAGTGACCTGGGTTGACTCAGACATGAAATGGCGTTTTTTTTTTTTTTTTTTTTTTTT